ACTTCTCAAACCCGGGGGCCCCCCTCGTCAAAATTTTAACTTTTTTTTTCCCCTTTTTGGTCTCACCACCCCCCCCCACCACCCCCCCCCCCCCCACTGTTTTTCTTACCTTCTCCTATTATTGCAACCCCCTGAGGTTCTTTATATTGAATATCCCATATCTTCAACCCTTTTGTTCTCCCCAGTGGTGACTCTGTGGGCTTCTGGAACCACCTCGGCATCATCGACTCTATTTGGTCTTCGCCACTTCCACCCTTCCCGCTTTTCCCACTGAATCCCAGCATCTTACGATTTAAACTAGAATTTTCAATTGATCTCTAGTCTTGAAGCTTGAGAACTCGAATTCGATCATTAACGTCATTGAACTCGCGAACCTCTCGCGCCTCTCGTCTAACAGCAACCCTGGAGCCACCAAGCTCCTCATCCTCCCACTTCTTCAAGTTGGCGGGACTTCGCTACACCGAGGCCTCTCTCCTCCACCCTCTTGCAGGCCCCAAGTTCCGGGTCTTCGGCGGGGGCGATACCAGACCCCCCTAACTGGGCTTTAGGATTGTCTTTATTGTGGCCGCTAGACGTCAGTCGGTAACGCTAGACCCTCCCGAAGGGTCTAGCTTATGGATGGAGGGCCGTCACCCTTGAACGAACCTCTTACCGGCTTGCGTCTGCTCCGGTCGTTGTGCGCTTCAAAAGCGAATATCACCAAACCAAACCCCCAAGCAAAAAATCAGCCAATCTGGCGCCCTAATCATTTTCGTCGAATCCTCATATACTGAGAGCCCACCATGTCCGAGTCTCCCAGATCCGAGAAGTACATGTACCTGACCAGGTACAGTACTCCGGTACCCGAACTGGATGATCACCGCCTGCAGATGCAGACGCCTCCCCGCATTGAAGCTCCGATGGAGCGTTCTTACAGCCCGCGCGATACCACTCAAGGTCCTGAAATGCTCGATCGTCCAGACTTGCTCAGTGCGCAAGATGTCCTACAGGACGGTCCAATTCCCCGAGACTTTGAAAATGCCGCGGAGGACGATCGTTCGCTGAATGAATTTAATGGACTGGGTCGGTTCTCGATCGACCACAACGCAACGTACCAGACTCCGCGTCGCATCAGTGTTGTGAACCCGGAACTCGCCAACGCTTCCTGCGCCTCGTCTGTTTCCGCTCGATCATCCTCTCCTCCCAATTCAGTTGAGGCTTTTGCCGACCCACGTCGCCGTGAGCGCGCCAATACCCTGGACAGCCATGCGCCTCCCGACCTGGAAGCTATCCTGCAGCGCACTGTTTCGGGTGGCACCCACAACCGGCGCCCAACTTTCAGCAACGCCAGTGTTGTTCGCCCCCAATTGGGCGATGTGCCATTCGATACAGCAGAGGAGGCCTGCTTTGACGCGCCAGGCCGTATTCCCGTCATTGATTACGAGGAACTCGAGGAGTTTGTGGCTCTAAATCCGAGCAGTAAAATCGCCGATGGCGATCGCCGCAAGCACAGCATGAGCTCGCAGAGCAAGAGGCCCCGCATATTTTACGATCTCCGTCCTGGCGCTGAAAGCCCTGAGATGGGTCCAATTCAGAAGACCAGCTCAACTGATACACTGAGTGAACATGAAAAGAAGGACGCCGAGGTTACAGACGAAAAGGAGCGGGTTCGACAACCCCATACTACAAACCAGCGTTCCCGCTTCGGCTTCTTTTCGTCTGAGTCTCAAAGCACAGTGCATGCTGCCGATTTGGGAGATCTGGTGCTCCCTGGCGAAACCTTCCGCGATCTCTTTGAGCTCGGGCCTGAGGGAGGTGTGTGGTGGTTGGATGTGGTCAACCCCACCGATGAGGAATTGGGAGCTATCTCCCGGGCTTTCTCCATTCACCCCCTGACAACGGAGGATATCCAAACCCAGGAAGCCCGCGAGAAGGTCGAACTGTTCAAGCAGTATTATTTTGTTTGTTTCCGGACCTTCTTCCAAATGGACAAAACCAGCGAGGAATTCCTTGAGCCTGTCAATTTCTACATGGTTGTCTTCCGAGACGGTGTCCTCACTTTCTCTTTTGAGGACAACCCTCATGCATCCAATGTTCGGAAACGTATTGGAAAGTTGCGAGACTATGTGTCTCTCAGTAGCGACTGGATCTGTTACGCGATGATCGACGACATCGTGGATAGCTTCGGCCCCGTGATTCGGGATGTGGAATTGGAGTCCGAGGCGATCGAAGACCATGTGTTTATTGCCAGAGTTGAGGATTTCGAATCGTTCCTCCCTCGCATCGGTGGCCTGCGCAAGAAGGTCATGAGCTTAATGCGCCTGCTAGGCGGCAAGGCTGATGTCATTCGTGGATTCTCCAAGCGCTGTAACGAGCAGTACTCGGTTACTCCCCGTGGTGATATTGGTCTTTACCTGGGCGATATCCAGGATCACGTTGTGACCATGATGTCGAACTTGGCGCATTTCGAAAAGATGCTCAGTCGGTCGCATACCAATTACTTGGCTCAGCTGAATGTCACCAACTTGGTGTTGGGAAACCACGTCAACAAGGTTCTCAGCAAAGTCACTCTGATTGCTACGATTCTGGTCCCCATGAACCTGATTTGTGGTCTGTTCGGTATGAACGTAGAAGTTCCCGGCGCCCACACAGAAGGATTGGCGTGGTGGTTCGGCATTCTTGGAGTGATCGCAGGTATTGTTGTTGTGAGTTTTGGCCTAGCCCGCTGGCAGAGGCTGGTTTGATTCTTTTTTGTTTATTGCTCATTGCCTACTTTTCCTTGACTTGTTCCTGTTACTTTGCATTTGCATGTTGATTGACTGCGATCGTCTACTTTGATCCATTTTTTGTTGGTTTCAAGACTACGATACCTACTTGATACATAGAATACATTTCTTATTCGTTTAAACAATTGACTTATTGAAAGTTGTGTGGATTGCATCAAGCCAAGGAGTATCATTTTAGAATCATTCAGCCTCATAGAAGCTTAGTCTTAGCCTTTGACTGTGGTTTCCAAGACCTCACAGCTGACCCATCATATATCAAAGTCTCATTTGGCAGAGGAATATAGATGGTACGCGTAGTACTACGTGTCCTAAATAAGGCAACAAGGCAACAAGGCAGCCAAATTGATAAGACTGGCATTTTCCACGATAGCCAGCCTCATCCAAACAACTTTCACGTCGACTGCATGCAGCCGCTGATTTTGCCTCCAGCAAGAGGTTTACAGCTGGTGTATACCACCGCTTGCCTGTGATAATTTTATTCGCCAACTCCAATTCTGGCCATTGGCTGTGCAGCGACACCTCCCTCCGTCTTTCCATGCGACGCCAATACAACGCGCTGCAGTGCTATCTTACTGCAACGATTAGCGCGATCTTCCTTCTTTTCGCTGTCACGGTCACCTATGCCGATGCATCCGATGTCCCGGGTACAGAGAACACCTTGAGCCTCCAGGGGGCGGTTCCCAGCGACGGGGCAGGATTCCCACTTGCGCTGGACTCGTTCAATGGGCTAGAACTTCGCGACAGTGTCGACGAAGATGGCGAGTCAAATGGGCTAGAGCTCGTGCGCAGATACCCTAATGTCGCGAAAGCATTGGGCAACAATCAGTTCGAGGCGCCGGGCGCGCTCGAGATCGGCGCTGTCCAGTGGTTCTATCTGCCCTCGGTTGTGGTGAACGGCAAACACGACCCGAAAGGCGTGGGTCTTCCTGCATACGTGAATTCTACAAATGAAGACGACGATGACGATGACTCGACCTATGAGCTACGGAAACGAGACGGGGACTTCTCGAAGCGAGCGACGACTACGGTCTACTTGTCGCTCACGACCTGCCAAAAACCATCTACCAACAAGACCGACCTACAAGGCGAGTTCCCGCAGTTGCAGATGTATGTGTCGACTTCGCAGAAATTGCAACAGCCAGGACCGGGCAAAGACGATTCGCTGCAGGATATGCACACTGCCGTTGGCGGGTATATTGGAATCACCTTAGATACGAATACCGACGTCTTCGTCGGCATCGCAGCGCCCAATTCAACCGACTACACAGGATATTACACGTACCAGGTCGCAGCATCTATCGATGCCTTTTTCCACAATATCGTGGACGATGACCCGAATTTGTTCTTCATCGACGCGGACACGTCGGCCGCGCTGCTGGTGACGAACAACTTGACTCAGTCTGCGAAGAATTCGACAAACTACCAGCAATGGATGGACATCGTCCCTCCGTATACTATGTTTGCCCACAATATCAACGATACGGCACTGCAGGGCTTGGAGAAATCATTCTGCGCTCTCGATGCGCTTTCGCAGGTGGGCCGAATAAGTAGTTCAACCGAGGTTGGCATGACCAATCGCGGACTTGGGAATAAGCCCAAGGAACAATTCTATATCACTGGACTAAACCGAAGTTCATCGTACAGCGGTCTTCTGGCAATGGTGGGCAATTCGACCACGTCCGGAAATGGCATCATCGGCGGCGGCGGTAAGGTATGGCGACCGATGAATTTTACGACCAAAGCAGGTGAGCAAGCCCAAACAATCCATACCAAAAAGTGACTTTATCTAACAATCCTCCAGAGGAGAACTGCGCCGTGCTATTCAACTTAACCTTCTGCTCAGAAGTCGCATACGCAGTCCCCTCCAACCCCAAACTAAGCGTCGACAAGCTCCGCACAATCTACGACGACTACGCCGCCGCCTTCTACCAGAACTTCACCTATTCCCTCCAACAAATCCAATGCAAAACAAGCGAAGAATCGATGTTTTCCCTCGCCGTGGACTGCGACGATTGCGCAAAAGCCTATAAGCAATGGCTCTGCGGCGTCACAATTCCTCGCTGCGCAGACTACAGTAGCAACGCCACGTACCTAGCCGTCCGTAACGCAGGCCAGGCCTTCATCAATGGCTCTTCCCTGCCGGATGACAGTCCGTACCGCCAGTCCGTGGCGTCGAATACATCCCGCAATCCTATCATCGATGAGGAGATCATGCCGGGTCCCTATAAGGAGATCCTTCCCTGTCAGGATATCTGTCATACCCTTGTTAAGGATTGTCCGTCTGCCCTTGGCTTCGGGTGTCCCCAGGGCGCGTGGATGAATTCTTCCTATGGCTATCGGAATTCAGAGGGTATTATTACCTGCTCTTATCTCGGGGCTGTGTATTATTTGAGTCTTGGGGAAAAGCTGGGGGCTAGCGGTTGGGTGACTAGCTTGGTGGTTATGGGAATTATGTATTTGCTGTAGATAGGTATAATCACTGTGAACTTGTGCTATTTGGGTTCTCAGTTATTTCTTTTCTTGTTCTTGTCTCCTCTAGATAGCAAGAGCTCGACCTAGTTCGCCTGTGCACCTTAATATTGCGCTTAGACTTGTATATCATAGAGCAAATAATACATACACATGTAACAAACATTACCACTCCAGATCTTTCCTCTTCCCCAATTTCTCTTCTTTCTTCTCACTCTTCTTCTCTTCTTTCAAGACTCCTTCCCCTTCTTCAACCGCCCTATCCCCCCATCTCTCCCTCCAAATCCCAATCTCTTGCTTCCACAAATCCCTTACACAGGGATCACACGAACTCCCACAGCAATCACCCAGTCCTAGTGGAGGCGGCGGGTCATTATATCCCCGTTCTCCTGCACGGAGGAGTTGTTTTGTGCGGGTTCTTGTTAGACGGGTCTTGTAGAGCTTTTTGTAGAGAGGTGTTTCTTCAGGAGTGTAATATGGCTCTGGGGTGGGTTGTGTAGTTGAGTCTGAGTCTGATGTTGGGGCATCGATTGATATCTTTGTTGGACTCTTTGTTGTCTCTTTTTCTTTCTCCTTCTCTTTGTCGTTGCTTGGGGATATTGCGGTGGTTGGCTCTGGAGACTTGGCCGAGAAAGAGAATGGAGCGAGCAGACTTGAAAGGAGGTTTCCTGGGGAGTATATTGAAGATGTGGATGTGTCTTTCTCTTTCTCTTTCTCTTCCTCTTTCTCTTGTTCTTCTTTTGTTGTTGGTGTCTCTGCCGGTATAATGATCTCTTTGGCTTTGGTGATATTTCCAGATGTTGATGCCGATGAAGCAGTCTGACTCTCTGATGTCTCGATACTCATTTTGATATACAGATACTGAAATCAATACAAGCGAATTGAATCATATGAAGACCAATTTAGTCTCTGTTCAAAATCTGTTATCGCGTTAGTAACGTTTGAAGAATTGATATAGTTAACTAAAGCAAACCCACAAATTCTAGGCCAAATCTAATCCTCTAAATCTTCAATTGCGCAAAGATGTATAATATTCATAGGCACGTCGTTGCAATAAAGAATGGAATGAGAAGACCATGAAGGCCGAAGAAGTACCGGGACCGGCTAAGAACTGTTTTCGTGCGGTTCCTGTTCGTTCCGATGTCCACCGACTCCTATGTTTAGGACTTGGTCTGTGTTGCCTGAACTGGTATTCATAAATAAGGCATAATTGGCATTTTTTGGCTAAAAAAGTAACAATACGTCCAGTACCGGTATCTGTGATTGTTTCCCGGGGAGAAAGACATCCAAAGAAACGAAACGCCGTTCGAGTATATCAACTCCGTGGTATCATGCAGCTAAAAAATATAAAAAGTCGAGCCATAAACTGCCATCATTTTCGCTTCGGCGTAGGCGTCCAAACATTTCCCAGTGCAGACTTCCGCTCAGACCTCGGCGTCCCTCCAACCTGCTGTAACAGCTTTTGCGCTGCAGGCGTAAGCATCTTTCCCTGGGAATACCCCCCACCGGAGACAGAGCCCCTACTAGAGCTAGCACCAGGAGTAGACCGAGACCCAAAATCCAGCCGGGGACTACTACCAAAGCGCGGTGTCAACGAGACAGGTGTCTTCGTAACACGGGCGGCCTTTTCAGCACGCTTGTTCCGCGCCACACGATCGACCATGCGGTGATGCAGGGCTTCGCGTTTGCGAGTTTCGCCAAGTTTGAAGGGATTTGGCTTTTCAGAGGTCGGTCCGAGGAGGCGCCAGTCGGCTTCCATGTCGTCGGTTCTAGAGTATGTAAATTCAGGTTCGGGCTCGTCTTCGTCGACAAAGGCGTATCCGTTAACCCTCGGGGTTTCGCTTCCTGCGAAGGCGGATGCGGCTTCGGACTCGCTGAGACGCGGCCGGCCGGCGATGGCATCTTGGATGGCGGATAGAGAGGGCGAAGGGGGCACGGCGTTGGCGGCGTCCGCTGCTGCTGCGGCATGTGGGTCTAGGAGTCTGGTATTTTGGTAGAGAGTTCGCTTGGGGCCTGCCCGAGATGTGATTTCTGCTTTCTGCGGGAGTGTCTCGTGGGTATCCTCCACCGAGTTGGGGAGGAACATGAGGGTGTTGTCTGGGCGGCTTTTCCATGTGTCTGGATTTGCAGGACGGGCATCCAGGTCTGTTTTGATGGCGGGCTGGGCATGCTCGTCTCGTTTTATAAGACCCATCTGTGGGTTTCCGCCTTGAGCCGTGATGCGCTTAATTTCTTGTTGCTGGTGTGCAATTTGTCGGGCCGAGGGAATTTTGTTCCCGCTCCAAAGCCAGGGATATTTCTCCCGTCGCTTTTCATTCTGCTTGTCAAGGACTTTGTTGAAGGACTCGTTATCTTCGCTGGTATACTTTGCCTGGAAGGCGACCAGTCCCATATTCGATACATCGGGAATATGTCGGTCTTCTGTTTCGGTTGCCGCTGTGGAAGTCGATACGACGGACATGGGAGTATCACCTCCCCAGCCATGTGGAGTGTCACCCGGGCGTCCGGCCGGGAAATGATGTGGTGTGGCTGGCGCCGATGCATAGTCTGATTTTCGTCTTGCATTCGACCCCGGGGTGGGCGTGCGCATGACGCTTGCCAACTTCTTCTTGGAGCTTGCAATCCATGCTTTGTCTTTCGATTCAAGGGCTTCCAGGTACTCTTGTTTGATCTGTGTCTCGAGCAAGCCCGGAAAGAAGTCGCGAGCAATAATGTGGGACAAAGTGTTCGTGTAGACGTCTTCGTCGAGGACAGTTGCAGGGCGTTTGATTCGCTTCGGGGGTGGTGGTGGAGGCATAAGCTGGCCAGCAGATTGTCTGGCCAGCTCCTGCGAAGGGGGAGACGCCATGTTTGTAGAGCAAAGGCTGAGGGAGAGAATAATGAAACCTGGAAGAGAGGTGGATGAATTGGTGGCGATAAGATAGCGGGTCATATGATTTTGATCTAACCGCTTTAGGCAACCATACTTCAGATATCACTAACATATTGAATTGATAGATCATATCATGAGCTAAGTAGGGTTTAAGTAGAGGATTTAGATAAATCGTCAGATAGGCACCAGCTGTGAGATGGCATCCAAAGCCAAAGACCTATCTAGATTGTAAAGCCCAGGCTTGCATATACATCCGATCTTACTAATTGAAGCAGCGTATCCGTAATGCTTTTTTACTCGGAGATCTTTATTGGAGAGTGACTCTAAGATGTAAGCCATGCTTCATCTCATGAAACTTTCTCAGATATAGGCAGTGACATTGTGTTGGAAAGCAGCGTCAAACTTAACATTCGTTCGCGTTCTCCTGGGGTTTTCGCTGAGCCCGTAAGCATGGCCAGCCGTCTTGCCCAAAAATCTCCTCTCAAAGGTCCGGGGCGTGAGTAAAGCTGAAGCACTGAAATGGTGTAGAAGATCGTGATTTCCATCGGTCAGGACCTATGTAATTGATTTCCTCTGCCACATCTTGGCATTCTCTTTCCGTATTAGTGCTCAGGCCTTGCTGCTTTTTGCACACTGAGTAGACCTAAGCACGCCACTGAGTCTCAGCTGAGCCTAACCAGTGTGTCACGTGATCTTCGCTTAGTCCGCTCCCCCTTCTTACAATGAGGAAGGCGTCGGTCTGGAGACCCTCACCTTCCTCCCTCCCTTACTCCGTTCCTTCCTCCTCTCCTCCTTCCTTCTAAAATTCCCCTTCCTGCCTTGTGATGGTCCGTTGATAGGCGGGAATCTTTTGCCTTTCCAATTGTATGAGCATCAATATCTGCATATTCATCAACCTGGGAACTCCTCAATAACCAAGCCAAGTTAGTCTAATGGTAGGGCACCTGAGGGACATAACCTCTGACCTTTAGGGCTCCCAGGTGAGCTAGGTTCGAATCCTGGGCTTGGTGGCTTCTCTAAATTTTTTTTTTAACCTTGATGTCTCTCATACCCCTAGGTATCGTATAATTCCATGGGTATCTAGAAATATACCTATCAGTACACATTGGTGGAATTACTTCGTATCAAATATATGTACATACTCTCTATTTCAGTCTTTCTGACGTGGAGAGAGAGGGTTGGGCATAGCGAAAGTGAAGCCATTTTTGAATTTTGAGGATCTATGGGTCGTTATCTTACGTCATAGTATATACTACCTTCAATACTATTGGGTAGAAATGAGCCGTACCCCAAAACAATAGCGGCCCCACAACCTTATTTGTACATAGGACCGTGGAAGTACGCTTCCCTTTCAACAATATCACGCTTTCTAACTCTCTTTTCAAAGTGCTTTTTATCTATCAATTACTCTACTTGTGCACTATCAGTCCTCGGCCAATATTGAGCTTCGGATGAAATGTCCCGCCCATTTAGAGCTACATCCCCAAACAACTTGACTCGTCGAAGGAGTTTCACACAGGCGCGGACACCCCATATCATACGGGATCCTCACCCTCTATAACGTCCCATTCCAGAGCGCTCCCAAAGTATCCTCTACGTATTAAATTGCGGATTCTGAAGGAGCCCTCTCGCCGCTCTCCACTTTCTGCTTCATTAATCTGACAGAATCAGGCATTTTTAGGCAGGGGTGCGCGGTGTGATCTCTGTACACGATCGACTTGGAAAGACATGAAATGTAGCTTAAAATTGGATGTATATCTTTATTGTTACACTAACTACAGACCAGGCTTTCTTTCAGTCTATATATACAAAGCAGCCAGCTGGTGACATCTGTCTTCCCTTTCGATATCTCTCTCCACGTATGATATATTCAGAAATATTTATTCATAGATATATTTATAGATACCCATGGATATACTTCTACCATTTATAGGTTCCAAGGTCTTTTATATTCGTGTCAAGCCTTTTTGGGACTATACTCTCATCATCTTTCACTCATAGCCTGGGTTATCAACTCCTCGCAACCCGAGAAGTCTTTTCTGCCCTTTCATATTCTTCTAATCTGATAATATTTCTTCTTTGATTACTCTCATTACCTACACAAGTATATCATAAACGATGCTTGCTTCGACAAAAACAAACCCTCCTAGCATTGAGAAAGCTCTTCAGAGCGTTCCTATTATGTCTTCTTCTTCAGCCCAAGATATAAACCAGGATCTCGAACCCACATCTGTTACCTATCCTACCCCGAAAGTTCTAGGACTGGATTTACTAGACGTCCTTCCTGTTGAGCTAGTGCTACTAGTAGCATTTTTCCTTCCCCGGGAGGATATATACAGCCTCTCACTTTGCAATCATCGACTTCTCAAAATATTCCAAAGTCAGACGAAGCACAAACTGAAAGCAGAAGCCCTGTTGCCTTTCTTACGCCGGCTCGAACATGATAATCCAAGATACTTAGCATGCGACGACTGCTTAGTTCTCCATCACTTCGACAGAATCCCAGAGCCTTTGCGGATCCCAGACCCGCTAGTTCAAATATCACCCTACTACCCACCCCTCCTCGGCTGCATGCAAACGGCTAGATTCTGGCCAGTTCCAATTGCACATAATTATGTGCGGATGCCCATCCACGATGGACGCAGCACCCGTTGTGGCTATAGACTCCACTGGTCTCATCTCCACCTAGCCATGCGCGGATTCCACCACGGTCCCGAATACGGGATCAGCACTGACGCGCTGGCCTTCACCGGAGTATCGCATGAACTGATTGCAGGAAACGACTCCGGATTGGTTCTATCTTCGGTGGAGGCGCGGATATGTCCTAAGCCCGCGGGTCTGGGTCTGTATATGCGATTCCAGGACATGATTGTCGCGAAAATGACATGGCTCGGTTCCCACCATGAAGGCTTCAAATTCTGCTCGCATCAATCAATGTCGTTTTGGCTGGAGGATATGTATGGGAACGAGACATACCAGCCGGAGTTTTATTCGAATTGCGAGGAGTGCAATACCGACTATGAGATTGGGTGGCTCAGAAACGAAGAGCTTCGGAATATCACTGTAGTGGTGACGAGATGGGTTAGCCTTGGACCTGGTCTTACTCCGGATGATCCCCGATGGAGGATTAATGCGTACTGTGAGACGTGGGGTCAGCCTCAAGGTCTGAAACTGGAGTCGGAGGAAAGGGGTCCTAGTCCTCGGTGGACCTTTGAAGGACTGACTGATACCTCTGTTGATACTTTGACTTCGCACAATCTCTCCTACATCGAAGAAGACAGGTATCAGGCTGAGATGGTACGAGTTTCTGATGTGCCTTCCTGGGGCCTATGGAAGGGGGCGCCTTGGTAAATATTTAGTTGATATGTGGCTTTGTAGATAAACAGGACATGTGATAGTCGCTGCTCGAATATGTTGTACGTACAGATCCTCCATCAAGTATTTGATTCAAGGCAGTCAGTCATTGATCCTGCAGAAAGAACCGTAACACAACCCAGGCTGAAATCCCACTCCACAGGTCTTAACTAAAATCCACTACACATAACTACTCTTTTTCTCTACACCTATACTTGCAAAGTAACGCCAACGAATGGTATTGAAGCCTATCAGCTCCTCTATAAAAATCAAAGTCTATAAGAAAAACCAGAGACTAGCGAACGATCCAAATAAATTCCGAAATTTCCTCCAAGAAAATCCTTTTCCTTTCCCTCTTTTTCTCTTTTTTCCCAAATCGCCCTTCCAAGACACCAGGCCAGTAAAAATCGCTATCGCTGAGAAATGCATGGACGAAAGATTGACCACAGCTGAAACACGCAGAACAGAACACAAACAAAAAGATATGGCATATAGGCAAAGACAAGACAAGTCAGGCATAAAACAGAGACACAAGGAAAACACAGATCGTGGACTCGTTGAGAGATGTTGATGGAGGGCTATCGGATGACAAAGCGAGAGGTGTGAGATAGATAGTCATGCAAGGGGTGAGGAAAGGAAAATATCAACATAAAAAAAATGGGGTTGATGATAACGATAGTGACATGTACTCAGTAATCAGTGAGAGATGATCAGTGAGGTGATCAGAGAGAGGTGATCAGTGAGAGGTTGTGGGGAAGAGAGAGTAAGATGGCGAGCGGGTCTTCCTACGGTTCGGGTTTCTAGAAGGAACAGGAGGCAAAGGAGCCTCGGTTTTAATCGGCAGGGGCTCGCCCTCCGAAATGGACTTGGCGCGGTCATGGAGTGGCATGGGAAGATCTGCACCCTCGAGACTCGTGCTGCTGCCACTCTGAAGGAGGAAGTGCGCCTCGGCGAGACTCTTGGTCTGGCGGTGGTGGGAGGATGATGTAGGACGGCTGAGTGTCTCGCCGGCGGTCATGCGGTCTGTTGGCATGAGCTCGCGGCTGCTGGACAAGCTATGGACGAGCTCGGGGACGCTGTTCGTCGTCGAGATGGAAGAGCGGTGCTTGCGCACGATGGAGGCTGCGCGAGAGAGCATTAGACTCTCTTGCGAGTTGCACTTGCTTATCGGGGAAAAGCTGCTGCGTGGGGAGATGGCGCCCATCATGCCCTGCGCGAAGGGGAAGTGGCGGTCTGATTCTCCATCAGTCGTCATGTACTCTTCGTACAATGGTTCGTGGGAGAGTGGTTTCCCCATTGATGGGAGGATCGAGGAATTGACGGGATGGAAGTAGTCTCCGCTCCGTGCGATGAACTCCTGCTCATAGTCTGCAGTTGAGGGGGCCTGGGAAGGGATTGACTGGGCTGGGCTGGGGTCCAGGTCTGGGGTTGCTAGGGCGGAGGTGCTCAGTGGGCTCGGCTGGAGCTGTCGGGTTCTCGGGGCGAGCCAGGGGCCCTCGCTGCAGGCTGCGCCGACTTGAGTGTGTCCTTCGTCCATGGATGTGCCAGTCCAATCGAAGTTGGAAGTGGACTCGGCTGCGTGCTCATAGCAGTAGTCGATGTCTGCGTCCCATGAGTCATACAATTCATCCTCATATGATGGCTGCAAGCTGGTGACCGGCTCGGGTGGTGTGACCTGCACCTGGGCGCGAGGGGTGTGCATGTTCTGAATATATTGGGGGATAGTCGGCGAGCCCAATGCCTCGGAGAACTTCCTAGAAAGCTCCTCGGCCACATAGATCGACACCGGAGCTTTGCGCGCGCTGCTGGGCAACTGAGTGTGGGCTGGGGGTGGACTGGCTTGAAAGGCTGAGCGAGAAGGGGGGCATTCCATGCTGGACTCGGGGCTGTCCCACATTCGGGTTCCTTCCTCTTCCTCGGGGACATCTTCCAAATCATAGTGGCTGCTCATGGACGAGGTCCTGGCGCGGTCATCGGGTTCGGGACTGAAAAATCGGGTTGGCTGCGCTGTTTGGAGATCTGGGTACGTCATCGTCGTGGACAAGCCCAGGATCTCGTCAATGGCACGGGGTGCCGGCTCATCAGTCCCATGTGAGGGAGGCTCTGGCACAGCAGAAGGTGGGGGAGTGGTAGGGCTGGTTCGGGGATATCTGGAGACTGGCCGCGAGAAGTTCTCGTTGACGCGGGATTCTCTGCGTGCGTGGTTTGCATTGTACAGTCGTGTTTTTGGAGAAACCGGTGGGCTTATGCTGGGCACATCCACCGTGGTGGCAGTGCCAAACGAGCGCAGGTCATCACTGGAGAAATTACGGAAATGAATGTCCTCGGCGCGGATACCTTTCAGATCAGGCTGGGGCCGTTGAGATGCTCGGATGGCCGAGAACTCGGTGACCAGATCATTCTCGCGGGTCTGGTCCAAAGACTGGAACTGCGAGGGATTGGTATGAGTCAAGTGGTGGAAATCAAAAGGATCAGAAATAATGCTTTTCAAGCGTTCGCCTATATCGATTGTCGAGGGTCAATTGGGTCCACAATTTCCGCTGCCCGCTGCTTGGCGCACTTACTGTGGTCTGTATTACGGGCCCGACGGCCAAAAAGCTCTCTCTCTGGCCGGGCCTTCTCACGATCGGCCTCATCTTCCTCGTCCAGCGTGGCGACAATGTTGATCTTGCTCCCCTGCCGGCGCAGGATGCGGCTTCCCCGCGCCAAAAGGGACCGGGACGGCCTATCCTTCTCGGAGCGGAATCCCAATGACGACCCGGCCCGGTCATCGGAGACAATGGAACTATCCGTGGAGGTCATCGAAGAGCCTGGTGAGCGGCGTGAAGAAGTTGAGGTGGTGGTATTGCTTCTTGAACGGCCGCTAAAAACGGACAAACGCCTGGGGCTGTTGGCGTGGGCAGTGGACCTGGAGCGGATATGTGCGGCATATTCAGGTTGCTCGTTGGAAGAGTTCGTAGACGGACGGTCACTGCCGTCGTCGTTGTCCCAGGCTTTACTCATTGGAGGGGGTGGATAGGTCGACATAGTGGGAAGTGAAGGAGAGAAACTACACCATGATAAGATGAAATCTGGAGATCTCCGCCGCCTACAATATAAAGGAGCGAAAGTGGAAAGGGAGGGTTCTCGAGTGGAACAGAACGAGGTCCTGCCGATGATAATAAATTAATAGAATACTTGATGACGGGGGCAATACAAGACACGGAGCGGTGGTGGAGCCGCGTTCAGGGGCGTATTTATTGTAATTTTTATTTCTTTTTTTTTTCCATTATTAGTATATGATGCTATAGTCCTCCTATATTGGTGTTATTCCGATCGGTTTGGTTGGTTTCTTTGTTTAGATTGGAGCGGTCACACCATGCACCCAGCCGGCTTCATTATTGATCATATTCCACGCCGACAATCCAAAAAATGAGGAAACAAAAGAAAGCAAACCCCAACATACACGGGATATAGTGAGGTGCCTCGAACACCCCCATGTAAAGGACGGGAATTCCCAGCGTCGCGGAGCCGATACCCAACTGCCTTAGTGGCATATGCGTCGAGCCAGGGGGTTGGTCCTGAACGTGCTGGAGACCCGCGTGTGGGGGAGCCAGAAAGACGCTAGGCCGCATGTAGTAAAGTATCAGCGTTCCGATACGCCCCGTCTGGCGATTTAATATGTTTAATCTGTATTTTTGGTATTTTTGCCGTACCTCAGGTTCCAAGGTTCCAAGGTTCCCAGGAAGGTTTACCGTTAGCTTTGGACCCATGGACACGGGAAAGAGGGGGACACACGATATACGCGATCGGGCTTATAGATTGAGTACTACTGTAGTACTACAGGTACATGGAGATGAGCCTAGATATGTACTTCGTATAGACAAGGTTGCCATTGGGCTAGATATTCAATTGCATATCCAATTGGCGATATTGAAACAGCTCTATACTTGATTCTTTATTTACATTCGAGTGGGGAGACAAGCCCTTATCACGATTGGGGCGCACACTGGAACCTTGGTCGTCTGTTTTTCTCCCTTAAAACATTGTATAAGTATCAGAACTACATATGGTGGTTTGACCTTTTCTTCCTACATAGCTACATGAGTATAATCTATGCCTTGCGTGAGGTTTGAGACCAGTCAGGAACGCCTCTTTCCTTCCCCGCGTCATATAGCGGAGCCTCGGTTCAACGGTTTTATCACAGAAGGACCCAGCCCTAATGTGATTATAGTGTGCACTGAAAACATAGGGCTCGGGAAACACCAGTCCTAGATCTCAATCTACTTTCGGCATCCGGCAGTGGGGTCCAGAAGCACAAAAGTCCATAATAACATTGTATTACAGGATAATATCGGTTTAATTAGCCTAGGCATACATGTGCTACAGCCTACACCGGCATTCCTCCAGTTCCCCAGTTCAACCTAAACATCCCTGTTGGTACAAGATGGACAGGCAAGGATCTCCATGCAAGTTTGTTCTTGTGATCCTACCGAGCTGTAGGGGCTGATCACTTCGCAGGCAGCCTCGGAGAGTGCCGGTCTCCTATCTCAGGCATATCCAAGCAGACTTTTTTTTTTAATTAAAAAAGGGAAGTGAAACGTATCAGACTACAAACTCACACTGTGTCGGGGATGCGAGACGAAGCTGAAGAATGTGAGTATCCGGCAGTCACCGCACCCTTACGTTATGTCTGTCGGAGAGTTGCATTGTCTCAGGGCGGGGTATATCCATTGTGCCTGGTATGTGCATATTATCACCCTGGTAGTACGTACTGCTCCATACGGACGAAGTACATCGAATCGAATCGACCGAGTATAATAAGCAATTCTCGCTTGGTATTGTCGCACATGATTACTTTTCCTGCCGTTATGGTGACTCGTCACACACATATTCTAATATTCACGTCGTCTGTAGTCCACGCTTCCTATCTAGTAAGTGGACCTTAGTCTGCAGCTAGCATGATTCGAAACAAGGGAGACGACCGAGGGGAAAGCCAAAAACAGTTTCATTCTATTTCAGAGTACGGAGTAGAATATACCGCTAGTTGTAGTGTGTATCGAAGTGTAAAGTGGACTCCTGATGATCTTATAGTCTAGAACGTGGACTCCGGTCCTCTGTAATGAGAACTCTCCTCCATTATGCATACATATGTAATATTGTACCTGCGTAGTGCGGCACTTGATATTCTTAATTACTTATATAGCTCTCTGCTCCGTCCACGGGTCCACTACTGCGTACTAGGATCCCCTTTCGAGAGGTCTAACAAGCACGTTCCCCCGGCGGTTCGCGTTTCGTGTCCATGATCGTCATCACGCACCGTACTCCGTACTCCGTACCTTTTTATATCTAGGCCTAAACCGTCTTCTTCTTCGTCAGATTTGTGTCAGAAAATACGCCCCGAGATTGGAGTGTCGTCGACTGTCAGATCTATTCTTTAAGTTTTTTTGTCGCAATTTTGAAACAAAGAGATCAAACAGACGCGTTTCTGGAATATACTGAGAATATACTCCGTACTGATAATTAATTAAAGATGATAAATAGTAAATGTAGCTAGCCCTAGAATATAATGACAATGACATAGGTGTAGAGTCAAGGTTTAGGGACACGTTCTGGAAAAGGAGGGAAAAGGAGCGAATCCGAAAATTTTTAGTACCCATCTTCATTCGCATGGTTCGCCCTATCACGAACACCTTCCTATTCATGCCTCCCGAAGATCGACAGCTCCAATTCCCGTGAAAGATGGAAGCTGGTCCCCGACTTCGGGAGTCATGTACGTACTCCATACCTTTAAAAGCCAATTGCAACTGTGGTCTTCCGTTTTCCCGCTAGACGGCCATAAATTCTAATGATAGTTTAGTATCGGGTAACGCGCTATCAACGTAGACTGGGCATCATCCCACGGTCGCCTATCTCGGTCAAGCATGTAAATATGTATGCGCCCGAACTACCGTGTGGAGAATGGATCAATCTAATATTCCAAGGGTGTAACTACAGGGGTGATTGATATCTACCATAATGGAGGCTGAATATCTCAAACTATATTCCATTCCATTGGAGGGAGATAGGCGGGTTGATTGTCCTTATTAGATGCTACCATGTGCGACGATCCCGGGGTTTCGATCCTGATGTAACCTAGCGTTGGCCGTTGAATTAAGTACATGATAACTAACTAGTTAGGGCATGACAGGGATCAGCGGTGTTGACATTACGGACAGGGGACTCCTTTCATGTTGCTAGGCATTTTGTGATACATGTGACTCCCAAGGGCCAAGGTTGGGCTCTTCGAATGACCAAATATGAGACAAGGAATAGAGACTATTGGAAATAGTCGATTATCCTTCTTTCTTTGAGCACCCGTGCTCTAGTTATGCATCATAAGTTGCATACAAAGCATTGGAAATATAGGAGTATGTTGTATTGAAATATTGAAGCCGGCACTAAGCTCATTACGATAAGTGATATCAAGCCAAATCTATAACGCCAGTCCTTTGTCTTTCGAGCCCAGATTTCACGAGTCCACTCAATTCTAAGTCCCATGTTAGCTTTGGTCTTCTAGACAAAGGGTGAAATGCCCACCGCTCGATCATGAGATCTAGTTGACAGTTCATTCGAGGTTCGGTTATCTCCCTCTTTGTTACCAGATTCTCGGAGCTTCGGTCCTGGTTGAGAGTGATGGCCAACTCTAAACGAGTCGTGGTTACTCCGTACTTCACTTAGCAACTCCAGTGGTCTTGTCACCACCGACATTGGCAGCAATGCCGAGCTCACTGATAACATCCGTCTCGGAGCGCTTCGCAACTCCGGTGGTCTCCGCGCCACCGACATTGATGGCAGCACCCAGCTTGCCGATCAGATCAGAGCTAGAGTCATCGTCGTCACTGCCACCGCCGTGACCACCGCCGCCATCGCCACGCTTAGCGACACCGGCAGTCTTATCACCGCCGATGTTAACAGCAACGCCAGCATCACCGATCACATCGTTCTGTTTGGGGACGGGGACTGCGAGTGCTGTGACTGCTAACAGGATGGGAGCGATGAGAGTGTAGCGCATTCTGATATGGGTTCAGACTGGAATGGTCGTTAGAACTGCTTGAGCTGGGCTCTGGTAGGTTTGTGCTCACTTATGGTAGAGAAGGTACGTTTGAACTGGACTATTCTTAACTGGACTTGGAGTGAATAGAGGTAATCTGGCTAGCAACATCCCTAGGCAGATGAGCAGGCTATTTAAGTATATATTGTACTATCGTACATGATATCTGGATAGATGTTTGCGGCATGATAGCTGATGTGCTTCAGGATTAAGCACCAGCTTAGACTGTATTCTACTTGGACGAGGTGGATGTAGACTTGATCTATGACATATGCGTAGTTGCGATGGGTGGATGCCCAATAAGGGCTACGGATTAGCAGTGGGAAGACTGGAAACGGTGAAGGTCCTAGTCCTAGTAATTGGCCTTGTGTTCAACATAGAGGTATGCGATGATCGTGGCAAAGACAACAACAATGATGGAGAGAAATGATCCGTCGATTGTAGTTTGACGATCCTTGACTTATTTGGGTAGTGACCCCCAAAACGATGCCTGCCCTTGATATCATCGGTGAACTCGATGCTACGCTGCACCTGGATTTCTCTAAATTTCAGGTTTTGTTCCTTTGTTTTCGTTTTTTTTTTGCAAAGTGAGTCATTTTGGTAGAATCAGGCTACAGGATATTTTATAATAAACTACATTTGAATATCGTAATAATCTAATAGAGCCCAAGACGTCAAGCCCTAACGTGTCCCGTCAAGCTTAACGAAAATAAAGTTATCCATCCATAAGAGCAGGAACCTTGGCATATCGAAAACGTTGGAATTCTTCTAGAATCTTCGAAGTATTGTTTTTCCCCTCGATTGCCTGACTCTACCTAGAATATACCTCGGTCCCACTAACTAGGTGGTACCCATTTTTCCATGTCGATATAGTGGCTTTCAATGGTGTCTTACGATCTCCCCTACGTACTCTCTATACCTTTCTAGGATCTCGAACCTTGAACCTCGATCCGGGTACTCCGTACGGAGTAAATAATTACGTGTGCATCCTGAGATTGTCTGAAAAGTCCAAATCCCAAATCCCAAATTCGATCTCCGATACGTACTTTGTCCTACGCCACCGATCAGACTAAATGTCCAAAAGTAGCACGGAGTTCCGTCGAGTGCAGCAATCTCACCTCAACCGCTAAAAGACTCCTGCCAAAAACATGCCCTAATAGACGAGATATAGCCCCCAATGCGACGCTGGCAACTGCATGAGACACGGGCCCCTCGGATCCTCCACGCCTACACCATACACCTGCTACCACATGCAGTTGGGGCACGTCTAATTCACTAGCCAAGCAGCTAGACACCTTCTGGTATAGCTGCTCGGTGCTCCGTAGGGATGACAGGGGTCAATCCCACCAGTGACCGCACGTGCAAATCCAACATTTCCGGGCCTGCGCAAGCCATGTCTCAGATGGCTGAACCGTTTTGCTAGCTAAGGAATTATCTCCACCGGAATTCCGAGGGGAGTTGGGGCCCTGCCAGATTCGTGTTACCGAATATGGAGTTGCATGTTCGGTAGATTAATTCGATGCAGGTGCTGCGCTTGGGCCTGGCGTGGGTTTCTTTTTAATCTATTTTATGCCCCTGCCATCTTCTTTTTGGTGCTGGGTGCGCCGTGATTGGGTGGTTCTTTTGTTACTGAGGCTTTTTAGATCTGTCAATGCCGGTATTTGACCGTTCCTTGTGGTGTTCGCATATCGGCTTTACATACCTTAGTGGGCACGGAGTAGTACTTGGTGTGGTATCTTGGTTAATTGCAAGGGACCTTTGTTCGATAATGTACAGGGTTGGCTTTTTTTATTTTTCTAGATTTTGTAGACTCATAACGATCAAGGCTAATAATTACACATGGCTTGAAGTGCATTGGGGTAAATGTATCAATTGCAGTTCAAATGGCCCCTTGCCAGACGCCTGGATGAGAAAATGGAAATAGAACTTTGAATAGTAACAGAAAGAGTAGTGGTAATGAGGCAGAATTCACTCTTGCATCTCCGTGTCCTCGGTAGTTTTCGAAGGCTCGCCGAACAGTTCGTCGTCGTCGTTGTCTTCAGTGACAACCTTTTCGGCTTGCACTTCTTGTTGCACCTCTTGCTGCACTTCTTCTTCCTCGTCCTCGTCCTCGTCATCGTCGGCAATACGACGAGACGCCTTGCCACGACGACGCGGCGCAGCTTCTTCAGCAGGCTCGTCATCGTCACCAAACAGCTCGTCCTTGTCTTCCCCAGCAGACCGAGCAGCCTCTTCATCGTCAGAGTCAACAACCATCTCACTGCTCTTATACTTGCCAGGCTTCTCAGACTTGGCAGCCTGGGCCTTCCCGCCCGGTCGGCGTTCCAAGCGGCGTCGCTTCTTAGGCGCCGCTTCGCCCTCGCTCTCAGCCGCGCTGTGCACAGCATCGGCTTCTTCTTCATCCGCGATAAAATCATCCCCACCCTTCTTTTTGCGCTTGCTGGTAGGCTTCTTCTTGCGCTTGACCCGGTCACCGGTCTCGGAGTCGTTGGTCAATTCCGCCTCCTCACGAGCGCGCTCGTCTTCAGCGCGCTGCATGGCATGTCGTTGCACCTCTTCGACCATCTGCGCGCGTTCCTCGGCGATACGCTTCTTACGCTCCATCTCGACCTCCTGGGCCTTGCGCAGCTCCTCTTCCCGGATCCGCGCGGCTTCTTCGCGGGCTTCACGGGCTTGCTGAAGCTTCGCGGCATTCTTCTCTTCGTACTCCTTCTGGCTCTGCATGGCTCGGTCAAGCTGCTTGCTGATGGTGCGGCCCATGTTGGCTCGCTGCTCCAAAGCGGCGCTGGGGTAAGGCGGGTTCTCCTCCTTGGAAAGACGCTCGAAGGTTTCAATGGCCTCCTTGAGACCCTCCGCTGCCTCTTGGACATCCTGGAGCGTCTTCTGGGTAGGCTGCAGACCGTACGCGAGCGAGGCGATTTGGTTCTGCACGAAAGCAACGTTGAATTGCAGGTGAAGTTGATCCGGAGAGACGTCGCGTGCGCGCGTGGCGTAGTCGAGTGCTGTCTTCATTGCGGCCAAGTTTGCCTCCTGCTTGCCTCGTAGCCACCATACACGACCAAGACAAGCCAAGATTTGCACATCACGCTGGCGATCCTTCGACAACGCAGCCTCGTAGTGTTCAATTGACCGTGAGAACTGACGGAGCTCAGCGAAGACATGTCCCAAGTTGAGGTAAACGCTGGGGTCCTTGACCGTATCGCGAACCTTGGACAGGATTTGGACAGCAGAGCTGTGGTCTTTCTTGTCATCGACCAGGGCGATCGCAATACCTTGGGCCGCATATGCGTTCTTGGGATCTAGCTGGAGAGCCTTGTCGAAGAACTCCACAGCACGCTGGTAAATCTTGCGACGCTTTTCCTTGTCTTGATCTGTGTCGCGGCGCATGTCACGGGCAGCGAGGAGATGAACATTGCCCATTCCAGTCAACGCGTAGCGATCATGTTTGTCATAGTACTGCAACGTGTGCTTGAAATGGCGTTGCTCGCTATCTTCAGCAAGGTTGGCAACTCGTTTCTTCGCCTTGCTAAGATACCATCCGTAGAGTGCCCGAACTTCCAGATTCGTGCTGTCCGCTTCGTAAAGCTTGCCAATCTTCTTAGGGCCCTCGTCTGTGGGGCTCTGGCGAAGGGCAATATATGTAATACGTGCATTAGCTTCCGTGTAGTCAGAGTGACGCTCCAGAAGACCTTCGTAGACCTTCTTAGCTTCGTCCCACATGTCGGCTGCCTCGTAAGTCCGTCCAAGGTTGTAGCTAATTGTGGTGACGAGCGCATCGGTATCCGTGCCATCCTCTTTTTCCTTGGACTGCACGCAGGCGTTAAGTGCAGACTGGAACAAGCCACGAGCTAGAGCAATCTTCTCGCTCTGGTATAGGAAGCAGCCCATGTTGTTGAGGAGCTGCGGCGGGAGACTCTCCCTAAGAGCAGCGTTCATCTGATCCTGGTCCTCGATGTCAGGTCGAGCATCTTCCGGAATTTCAGCAATCTGGATCTGTTCCAGTTGGGTCAGGCACTGCATGCTCTTATCAGGAGCTGTGCCCTCGTAGAGACGGGAAAGATAAACAAGAACCGACTCGTCGGGGGAGATATTTTGTTTCTCGTCCTTCCACATAGAGCGCACTGACTCAAGCAAAGTGATGGCTCGCTTTGCCTCAGTCGACTTGTCTTCCTTGCTGCCTGATTTCTGAGCAGCGAATACTTCTTCCGCGTGAATAGCAGCAAGGAGGATCATGGCCTCCGGGTTCTTCGATTGCTGAACAATCTTCTCTAGTTTGAATTTGGCACCGTCAAAGTCCTTGTTCGCGATCTGCATTTGCACAGCGCCGAATTTGGCGGGAAGATAACCCTTGTCGACTCCACCGCGGGCTTGATCGGAACGGTTGTAGTACTCCGTGGCATGGGCATCGTCGCCTTCATAGTGCGACTTGCGACCGAGGAGGTACCAGCCGTCACTGGCAATAGACATAACATCTGTGTGCTCGATGGCTTTGCGTGCCAATGTCTCGACGGTGGGATATGATTTGCGGAGGAGGAAGTAGCTGGCAAACAGGGAGCAGGTCATCGGGTATTCCTTGTCCAGCTTGAATGCCTTCTGGGTGTATTGAGTCATGGCTAATTTGTACATTGACCCAAACATAGGGTCGGTGGTGGCTCGGCGAGAGCTGTCGTGGAGGTAGTAAACTGCCAGCAGGACGTTGGCAACCTTGGACTCGGGGTTCTGCATAGCGATGACGGTTAGTTATGGTGAAAAATAAAACCTTGCGGAACTCCCTCTCGCATACCAGAGACAAAGATCTCTCCCAAGCTACCTTGGCTTGATCCTTGAAGCCCAGCTGCCACAAGCAACATCCTAGACCAATACGAGGGTCAGGATCTGTGAGGTTAGGCATCTTGATCAGAGCCTTTTGGTATCCTTCTAGTGCATCTGCGTATCTTCCTAGCATGTAATGCGCGCGGGCACGTCCCAGAATAGCCATGATGTTCCGGCCACCAAAGGCCTTGGATGACTCGTCGAAGCATTTCAGAGCCTGCCGCAGCGACTCGACTCTTTCCGAGGTATCAATCGCACCTGGACGAACAGCACGGGGCGGGTATAGTGATGCACGGAGGAGACACAAGACACCACGCGCCAGGAAGAGAGGAGGATAAGCCGGGTTGAGTCGCGAAGCCTCGTTCAACGTCGACGTCGCAAGTTGGAGGTAGTGATCTTTGGTCTTGGATTCCGAGTATAGTTCCCCTTCGGGCGCAACTCGAGGGGCATGTCGGCTCTTTAACAGCAGCATCCAGCAGATCCAGCCCAGCAGGCCGAGTTTCTCCTTTGTCGCTCCGTGGGCGACGGAGGCCAGACCCTTAGTCAAGATGTCGATGGCATGGTCGATCTGCTTTCGCTTCGCGTAAGCGAGCGCAATAATCACCCAGAAATTCTTGGCCGCTTTTTCGTTCTCCAAGAGGGTGCAAAGCTCAGTCGGGTCATCGGGGAGCTCGAGCAAGCTGACTTCGACTTCGCTGTCGAAGCTGGACGCGGGAATATCGATAGCATCGGGGATATCGGAGAAGCGCAAGCTGCTCAATGGGCTAGCTGCAGGTACAGCATCACCGTTCAGGCCATTGGTTTGGCCATTCTCAAGAGGCGCCATGATGAGTCCGGGAACGGGAGGGATGAGGCCACTTTGCGAGTCGGTATGGGATTATAGGAGCCTCAACTCATGATCAAGCGAGGCGATCCATCAAAAAAGGTCAGAATCAGGAGCGTTAAGGTTAGCGACCCTGAGTTTGGAGAAAACGCGAAAAATTGACTCTCGGAGACAACAGCGCGGCGATGAGAGGTGAGAATTGAACGATTGGAGTGGCTGGGCTGCACCGCCACAGGACGCCACACCGCATACAATAAACAACACAACACCTTTTGGACAATTGAATGATCACTTTCCGATGTTTTCGAAATGAATAAGAGCAAAATAAGTGGAGAAAATGGCATTTACTAAATTTACTAGTAGAATACCTAGGTGCGGTATTCATCCCTGCACCCAGCTTGTTACAAATTTGCAAAGCAAAGCAACACTGAGCAGCACCCCGAAGATAAGACCAAGCTCACTCCAGTGGCGCAGGCGACCATAGGACTCAACATATCCAGCTGTAGCAGCAACCAGCTGGCCATCTATTGCATTATCGGCTTTGATCGAACCGGCCAACTCGGATGGGAACCGGCCCGTTTCGAAGTACTGATCCATAAGTTGATCCTTCTCGGCCCAGCGTGCTGTAAGCCAGTCCTCAAACTCCTTCTGGTCATCAAGAGGAATCTCCGAGACGTTGAAGCGTCTCCAATGCATGTTGACTGAGGTCGGCGGTCGTCCTTGCAGATATGTGGAGCGAAGAGTGAAGTATTTATCGGGATAGCTTCCCTTTCTATAGACGGACTTGTGAATATCGTTCTACTGGAATATAGGGAGAGGGAAACATACGGTGGCCCTTCATAGGCTATGGTGCAGTCATACACCCAGTCTACGGTTCCCCGCAACTGCTGAAGACAGAACAACAGCCCTGTAGACCGCGGAAGAATCACGTGCTTGAATGAAGGCAGTCCCTGTTTCTGCCCCCAAATGTCGCTGCGTCTCTTGGTATTGGTGGACAGGTTTGTCCCCTCGGGGAAGATTAGCAGCCACATGGGATCGTACTGCGGGCGGGCTGAGTTGGAGCCCCCGTAGACAGTCTTCAACTTCTGCAAACGATGCTCAAGCCTTGGCTTGTCAGACGTCCACTTGCGAGCCATGAAGATAAAACCGTAGAACATCATGCCCGTGCCCACCAATGGGATATACTTAAGCGACTCTTTCAGGATGATGAAGAGGCGGCCATGCATCTGGTTGGTGTATGCAACCCACCAAAGGTAAACCCAGTCAGTGTAGACCTGGTGGTTCGAGATCAGAACGAGACGCTCGGGGAACCTGGTCTCCAGTAATCCATCTTTCGATAGATGGATCTGCCCACGCACGCTAGCATCACCACTGACCCGGAAGAGCGTCGGAGAGCTCCATTCGGTAAGAGCAGCGAGGACCAGTCCGAAGCTTTGTTTTGTATATGCCATATACGAATAGTAGTAACGTTTGTTGATCAGATACAGCGGGGAGCCGATTACTTGTGTCACGCAGATCGCTATAATACAGCAATCCACCCATGTCATCAGCAGAAGTGAACGCAGTAACTGCATGGGAATGCCATGTTTGAGACGGGGATCGGAAGGTGGTTTGGTCGAGAGCTGCTGAAGATCCCCGAGATTTGCGGTCGGCGGCTTGCGCTGTCGAACCTCGGCAGACTCCATGGTAGAAGTTCGGAGGTTCGGAGATCCCTGTTGTTTTAGAGACTGACAAATGAGGTAGAAATTCAAGTAATAGACTGGAAGCTAGTGAATGCTTCTACAGCTGTACAGAGCCCGGTCTGGTCGGATGTGGAGAATCGAGATAGTGATGATCGATAGTATGGGCTGCAACAAAGCTAGACAGAAGCTAGGAAATGAAATAAATTGCCATTCCCTTGAGGAAAGAAGGGGATTATAATAAAAGCGATTGTTAAATCAAAAGAGATAAGTGTTGGGGAGCTGAACAGTTGGAGAGTTGAATAGTTGGAGGGGAAAATCAGGCGGATCTGGTGGATCCAAAATGACGGTCACAGCCTCATAACGTCACCTGAGTTTCTTATTATTTACTTTGACACCTTTTTCTTTGTGATTCATCCAATTCTCTGAGATCCCGGAGCTATACAACTTAAAATCAACTGTTGTGTCAGGTCATTATACGCCAGTTCCTACTTCGGGCTGAAAGATGGCGCGTTGATGTGAGCACCGACCAACTCGAATCCTCATTGGAGTCCTCCGGGCTGATACATATGACTAGGGTCGATAGGCCTGCGATTCTTCTTACAACATGCTCTGTGCCATCATCCGCAGAAGCTCGCGCAGGAGTTCCCGTCTCGCCTTGCGCCAGCATTTTTCCACGTCTCAACCACGTCACGAGGTCAAAGACATCGGCTCTTTGTCTCAGCGCCTAATACCCAAATACCAAGGTGTGGCTTGGAGCTGTCTTATTGGAGCGGTCTTATTTTGTTGGTAGGAAGACTAATATATTCTCAGAATCTTGTGACGGAGAGCTGCTGTGTCTCCAGTGGCCAGCACCGCCGCGAAATATCTTCTTGGTGCGCAAAGATTGCGCCCCGGCGGTTACAGATTCCCTGATTGAATTCGTCAAGTAAGATCGAGAGATGCCCACGGGAAGCGACTTGACTCAAGGCTGACATCTACGAGCCATGTTTCCTCTACATACCCATCTATCTCGGTGATCCTCGAGTCAAAGACTGCCGCCGAAGTACATTCGTCGCTCTCTTTTCCCGTATACTCGGTTTCTCTCGACGAAAAAACGACCGCCCTTCATGATAAAGTCGACCTCACGGTGACCCTGGGAGGCGACGGTACGATTCTACATGCGGCGTCGCTTTTCGCGACCTGCTCAAACGTTCCACCCGTTCTATCATTTAGCATGGGTACATTAGGCTTCCTGGGTGAGTGGAAGTTCTCAGAGTTTAAACGTGCTTTCCGAGAAGTCTACATGTCTGGTGCCGGGGCAGGTGCTCGCACACCTGTGTTAGAAGGCCCAGAAGCGACAGTCACACAAGAAATTGAGATGGGCCCGACCGGGTGGTCTTCCGTCCGGGGAAAATCAATGGGCTCTACGCGCGGGGCACGCATTCTGATGCGCAATCGGTTGAAGGTAGGACTGTTTACTGCCGACGGGACCGAAACGACGCCTATCCGAACCAAAACCGACCAGGGTCAGGGAGTGTATGTGATGAATGAGCTGCTCATTCACCGTGGCAAAGAACCGCACTTGGCTGTGGTAGATGTGTTTGTGGGTGGGCGGTTCCTGACTGAAGCTGTGGCCGATGGAATCATAATTTCCACACCGACCGGAAGTACAGCCTACAGCCTGAGTAGCGGTGGTAGTATTGTGCATCCGCTAGTCCCAGCCATCCTTCTAACGCCGATCTGCGCGCGTAGCCTCAGCTTCCGGCCATTGGTTCTCCCTTCCAGCGCCCCCATCACGCTGCGGCTAAGCGAAAAGAACCGTGGACGCGAACTCGAGGTCAGTCTAGATGGTGTCAATTTAGGCCAAGGGATGGGAGTTGGTATGGAAGTCCGAGTCTGGAATGAGGAGATGCGTCATGGGAAGAATGAGTGGCAGGGCGGTGTCCCCAGCGTGATGCGACGGAGTGTGGGAGGTGAAGCGCATGAGGGCTGGGTAGGTGGATTGAATGGATTATTGAAATTCAACCATCCATTTGGCGAGGTATAACATTGTACGATAATATAGGATAGAATAAGAAGATCAAACACGACCCCGTACAAATTATATCAAGTGGAAGACCGTGGATCCAATCTCCTTAGGAGCTGATGTGATTGGCAGAGGCTTGTTTTCTGTAGATGAACTTCCCAAGTACTCTCGGCCCTATCTCAGGGGACATCTCTTCCCCCCCTTTCCCTCTTCATTCTTCCCCAACACTCAACTTGCGATTCTTTTATTGATTCTTTGAAGTCTGATATCGCGTTGCTTATTCTTGAGCATCCTCGCAGTGCGAGGACCGCTCCTCATTTCTAGACAAACAGGTACCTATTCTACCCCTCCTTCGATTCCCTCGATACTACTCTACTCTCCCGTTATCCCGGGAAGTGAGTGTGTTCGAGTGATTCTCTCGACAAAGAGAAAATCCCTGAATTGTTTTTTTTTAGGGCATCCTCTCCCTGAATGCAGTTGCTAATTCCTGTCTAGTAACTAGCGCTAGCCGGTCTTAGGCCTCAGGAGGTCTCGGCGCATTCGTTTACCCATACTCCCTCCCGCCCCCTGCGCGACCTGGGAAATCCCTTGAACAATGACTTCGTATGGGAAGTACGTAGTCGCACCATCTATCCTTGGAACCCCGAATCTGGTGGAATTTTACTCACCCTCCATAGCAACATGTACGCGCCGGAGCAGTTCATGAATCCGGGGCCAGCCCCCCGACCCCCTACCGATCGACCCCCCAAGTTGACTCTACCCACCAACAGCACAACATCCTCCTTTGGTCAGATGAGCTCGGACTCTCCGATCACACCGGGTCTGTCGTCGGCAAATCTCTCGCTTTTCCCCAACACCAGCAGTCCCTCGCTGGCTGTGACCCGGAGTAACACTACCCAAAATGGAATCTCCATTATCAAAGAAGGCACCGTCCGCTGCAAAGAGGACAAGTTCTTGGCCACTTGGAATACGCGTTACTTGATCCTGCGCGAATTCAAACTCGAGTTTTTAAAGAGCGATTCCGGCAAGGTAGTGATTACCTTCCCTTTGTCCACGGTCACCGCTGTCGCTCGCTCCGAGGATTCGAAGATGGCCTTTGAGGTCACTCGCCTGGCCAACCCGAAGGATGCAAACTCCAAAACCGCCCTCCTTGCTCGAGACCTACCTACCAAGACCATCACCTGCGAAGTCAAATCGGACGATGAAATCTACGAGTGGATCGACAAGATCTACGAGCGCTGCCCTGGCATGGGCGGCGTCAGCAATCCGACAAACTTCAGTCACCGTGTTCACGTCGGCTTTGACCCCAACACTGGCGCCTTTGTAGGCTTGCCTCCAGAGTGGGAGAAGCTGTTGACATCCTCGGCTATCACCAAGGAAGACTACAAGAAGAACCCTCAGGCTGTCATCGAGGTTCTCGAATTCTACTCAGACATCAAGATGCGTGAGCAGAACCCGCAATACTATGCTGGGATCAACTCTTCGCCCAATGGTCAACCCAAGGCATACGGTAGTAGTGTTGGAAGCTCCATTGCACCCCCACGTCCTGCCCCACCAGGACCTATGCAGCGCCTTGATAGCAGTCAGTCGAAACAATCTGAAGGTTCTATGCGCTCTGCGTCATCTTCCGTCGGACAGGCGGACCGTGCGGCAGACCACCAACAGCAAGTTGACCGGATGAAGGAAATAGCCGATCAAGAGCGTCGCCGCGTGGAGGAGGAACGTCGCAACAAGGAGGAGCAAGATGCTTACAACGCATCCATCCCGAAGGGCCGTCCTACTATGGCTCAACAGGAGCTTGGTGGTTATGGCGGCGACGACTCGTCACAGAATAGCCGCTATCAACCAAGCCGTCCAGCCCCTCAGGCTCCAGGCTCTGCTGCTCGCCAGCAAGACCGACAGCTCACCGCACAGCGTCCCGCACCCGCGCCACCGTCGCAGAGTCCTTACGGCCAAAGCGCAGCACCGGGCGCTCCTCGAACCGATGACCAGCAGGGCTCTCCAAGCTCCCGCAGTGACCCTCGGGCCCCAGGCTCTGCCAACCGTCCCCAGCAGAACGGTTCTAAGGCCGGACCCCCTCCGACACGCCTACCGGCCCCCGTTCAAGCTGTGAAGCCGTTGAATATTGCCAACAAGCAAAACGGGACCAAGAACGTCCCCGATGGCGTTCGCCTAGCCGAAGCCGCTCTTACGAAGAAGGCAGAGCCGCGGAAGGAGGTGCGCATGTCAGGCATGTCAGAGAACGAAGTCATGGAGCGGCTGAGGTCTGTCGTATCCAAGGATAACCCGAACGAGTCTTACAGCAAGCAGCGCAAGATTGGTCAGGGTGCATCTGGATCCGTTTATGTGGCACGGGTTAAGGAAACCGCACCTACTGGTGTTGCCCACGAGCTTTACCGGACGTATGGCCCGCGCTGCCAGGTGGCCATCAAGCAGATGGACCTGCGCAGTCAGCCCAGGAAGGAGTTGATCGTCAACGAAATCATTGTCATGAAGGACAGCCAGCACCCGAATATTGTCAACTTCCTTGACTCATTCTTACAGGAATCAAGCAATGAACTCTGGGTTGTCATGGAGTTCATGGAGGGTGGCGCGTTGACCGATGTGATTGATAATAACCCAGTAATTACTGAAGGTCAGATCGCGACTATTTGTTTCGAGGTATGTTTTCTATCCAATGTTGTTTTTTATCCAATTACTGACGTTTTTACCAAAAGACTTGCAAGGGTCTGGCCCATCTGCACAACCAGAGCATCATTCACCGTGATATCAAGAGTGACAACGTTCTCCTCGACCGCGTTGGCCATGTCAAGATCACTGATTTCGGCTTCTGTGCCAAGCTCACCGAACACAAGAGCAAGCGCGCTACCATGGTCGGAACCCCTTACTGGATGGCACCCGAGGTGGTCAAGCAGAAAGAGTACGGCCCGAAGGTCGACTGCTGGTCGCTGGGTATCATGGCCATTGAGATGATCGAGTCGGAGCCTCCTTACCTAAA